TTATTACTGTTAGAAAAGTAGTTTTAGATCAAGAGGGGGGGTGAATTGATCTTTGAAAGTTTTTCGCACAACACAGATGATCTAATCTGAAAAATTAAGTTTACTAATCAATTCACTAATCACAGAGCAATCAAACAATATAAGCGTAGCAACTGAACTTAAAGAGAGAAAGGTTAAGAAAGATTTCACCGGTAATTTTATACTGGTTCACCCAATACCAGGGCTACGTCCAGTCTCCAGCCAAATTCCAGCTGGGTTCCACTAGAATAGATGTTTTACAGACTCAACAATCTTACACCTACTCTAACACAAGAACCAACTTCCAGTTCTTGCACTCAACCTTTCCACCAAGAACCAAATTCCAGTTCTTGGAAACCTCTGTAACCAAATTCCAGCCGCAGAGAAACCAGTACCCAAATTCTAGGCACCACACAGTACAAGAACCAAATTCCAGTTCCTGTACTCAACCTCTCCACCAAGAACCAAATTCCAGTTCTTGGAAACTTCTACAACCACCTACCAGCTGCAGAAAACTTGTACCCAAATTCCAGGCACAACACAATACAAAGTAATGAAAAAGAATTTACAAAGAAGAGACTTAGAAAGCTCAAACCGGATTACTCTAATCCACAGTAAGTTTCTTCTTCACAGAATGCAATATGCCTCAAGAAAGATTTCAAAAAGAACTTCACAAAACAGTTGTAATTCTTTCTTGGAAAAAGGATGCTAACAGTTGCTTAAATTGATTGCTTTGTTTTTGTAAAAACTGATATATAAAAGTTCCAAGCAATTCTGTTTATAAAAGAGTTTTCAGAAAAAGCTGCATTAATTAATCTGTTGAAAGTTTGTTTTAATCTGTTGAAATAGCCGTTATGATCTGTTAAAAGTCCTTTCAACCCATTAATGCGTTCTTGTTCTTTAACAGAATTATTTTAGCTGATACGACCAAGTTTTTATCAGTTAAAACATTTTACAAACATTTTCTAAGAGTGATTTAATCGATTGATTCGCGGTTTAATTGATTGATTTAGTTTAAAACTTTCTTATAACACTTTTCAAGTTATTTTAACTGATACAAAGAAGTTTTAATCGATTAAAAACCTGCACAAAATTTTTTCTAAGTCATTTTAATCGATTGAAATGCGTTTTAATCGATTGAAACTCTGTAAAAAATTTTCAAGTCATTTTAATCGATTGAAATTCGTTTTAATCGATTGAAATAAGTCTGATCAGTCATAATTCAATTCTGATCGATCATAACCAACTCTGATCGGTCATAATTTCATTCTGATTGATCATCCTGACTTCCAAAGTGGTTTTAATCGATTGAAACGTGTTTTAATCGATTAAAAGAAGTTTTGATCGCTTATATATCAAATCTAATCGGTCATAATGATTTCTAAATGGTTTTAATCGATTAAAAGAAGTTTGTATCGATTAAAATACTGAAAAAACACTTCTTTAAACATTCTAAGTGATTTTAATCGTTTCTTTTAAAACTATATCAGTTAAAAACATTGTTAAGAAAGTTCTTTGTCAAAATGCTTTTGTTTGATTTGTTTAAAACTATTTTTGAGGCATTTTGCAAATTGAGTGAAGGAGCTTCATGCAGTGGAAAAGGTAAAGTGGTTTTACCTAAGCTTTCTGTTAAGACACACTAAGTCTTCAGCTCCATTCTTCTGAGTGACTTGTTTGACTGTTGCAGAGTTGACCTTTGACTTTATCTTTGACTTCATCAAATCACTGAGATCTTTGCTAGGATCACTTTCAATTACAAGGCTTTAAAAGATAATTTTGATCATCATCAAAAAGGGGGAGATTGTTGAACATTCAAGGACTTGATGTTAGACTTGATGGACATGAAGATTGTTGATTTTGATGATGATTCAAGAACACAAGAACTTAGAGAGTTGAAGACTTTTTTTGTAGTGTAATAACTCTGTTTTAATTAGATTGAGTCTGTAATTTTAGAGTTTGAGATAGCCGGTACATAGTCTGCACCTTAGAAGCTTCAAAAAGCTCAAATTTATCATTCAGGCTCGGCTTTAATCGATTATTTGGTGAATTAATCGATTAAAACAGTGAGAAAAACCATTTTCTGTAAAAAATCACTGGTTTAATCGATTAACACCTTTGTTAATCGATTAACAGGCCAGTTAATCGATTAACAGGCCTTTTAATCGATTAAAACAGAGAGTTTTGGGTTCTGTTGATTTTTGGCTCTGTAATAATCGATTAACACTTCATTTAATCGATTATTTCAGTCAGATTTTGATTTTTAACTTCAAATCAAACGTATTTTCGAAAACCCTATTTCCAAGAACCCTAGTTTCGAAATTCTCAATTCCTAAACCCTAATTTCTCTACTTAAGCTCTTCTATGGCACTCAGAAAATAAGAACAACCTTTTTCATACAAAAGTTAAGTGTTGTGAGTGCCAGAGAACTGTTTGTTGCAAGAAAAAGGGGCTTTTGGAACCTGGTGTGGGCTAGAAGCGATAAGAATCACTAAGTGGAGTTCTTAGTGGATTGTGTGTTGTGTCGTCTCTGGGTTTCATCTCTTGTGGGTTTCAAGAGAGGTGTATTCTTTACTTTGTATTTTCCATTGTAATTTGTTTGTAACAACTTTCATTATAGTGACAGCGTTAATCCTCTGTTTGAGTGATTAGCAACTGGACGTAGGGTCTTTTGATCCGAACCAGTATAAATCTCCTGTGTAAGATTCTATCTCTTCTCCATTCACATTTACACAGTTTTTTTTAATCGGTAAAATTTTGGGGAGAATTTTGAAAACCTAATTTTTATTAAGAAACCAATTCACCCCCCCTCTTGGTTTTTGTCCGACCACGCGAACATTCCGCTGCGCGATTATAACAAGAGGTTCTGAAGAGTTACTAAAGAGTTACTAAAAGTTACTAAGAGTTACTAAAGAGTTGCTAAGAGTTACTGAAGAGTTATTAAAAGTTACTAAGAGTTACTAAGAGTTACTGAAGAGTTACTAAGAGTTACTGAAGAGTTACTAAGTTACTGAAGAGTTACTGAAAAGTTACTAAAAGTTGCTGAAGAGTTACTAAGAGTTACTAATGAGTTCTTGAAGAGTTACTAAAAGTTACTAAGAGTTACTATTAGTAAGAGTTACTGAAGAATTACTAAAAGTTACTATGAGTTACTACCAAATGATACAATGCAAGCAAAAGTTCTTAGATTCATCGAGATATAGAACAACATATAAGTTATCATGCTTGCATATCCACCATTTGAGTCTCCAACAATTATTCCAATAATTACATATCCGATTTGACCTATGGACGAATACGCAGGCATACGTTTCATGTTTGTTTGGGTAATAGCAATCAGATTCCCTAATATCATGCTAAGAGTAGCTAGGATTTCCAGAAGAAGATGTTATTCGTTTGTTGAGAAATAAAAAGGGATATCAAAAATTCGAGTGGCTGAAGGTGAAGCAACTACTTTCAAAGTAACAAAAAGAAAAGCAACGACTGGAGTGGGAAAGTCAAAGTCGAAAAGAGGATTCCTCACTTCTTTCTCTCATTCAAAACCGTGCATGAGACTTTCATCTCGCACGGCTCCTAAGTGATAAAAGAAAGAGGGTGAGTTCTTCTTTCTTTTTTGATTACTTTCCTCGCGTATGTATAAGACTGAATCCTTTCTATTTTGAATTTTCAAAAGGATTACTAATCCTTAACTTTTCAAGGAATCCTTCATCAGTGGTTGTGAATGATCTATTTTTCTCAATCTCTATGACTTGTTCCTACGGAACCGAGATCGAAAACATTAAAAATAAGAATTAGAACCATCTGATTTGATTTGTTCTCAATAGCCACGAGATGATCATCTTAGGGTGATCCTCTTGTTGACGGATGCTCCTATTATACCCGTAGTCTCTGAAGGATGAGAACCAACTATGTAGCATCTACATCGAGAATTCAAGTATTGTATACGTCATTAGACCGATCCTTTGTAGGAACTACCCGTAATAACGAACTTGCAAAATGAATCTATTTATCATAAAGTGATTCGTTGTTCCTGACTCTGCTTCACCTTAACTGTTATTTGAACAAGTAAAGTTATGTCTTGGTCCGAGTGGGAATAGCATTTCTCTTCTGCATGTCCATGGAGTTTTGAAAAATCCAAACATCTCAGAAATAGAGAAAGAGATAGAAATTTATCGAACGAACCACACTCCTTCGTATATGTCAGGAGTCCATTGATGAGAAGGGGCTGGGGAAAGCTTGAACCCAATTCCTACTTGTGATAAAAGCTAACAAATTGTGATTTATATTATTAGTTCTAAACTTTCTTATTGGCGAGCCACAAAAATTGCACCTATTAAAGCAACTAAAAGAATTATTGAAATTAGTTCAAATGGAAGAAAAAAATCTGTTAATAAATGAATTCCAATTTGTTGACTAGTACTTGTCAAATCTTGCTCTATATTCTGATTGGGTCTTGTCATCCAAATAATCCTGTGCCATGATGTTTCTAGAATAGTAGTTATTTGTGAAACAAAGATACAGGTACAAACCATCAAAGTAATTCCATCCCCAACGGCCCAAAGATCAAAATTTTGGTAATATTCTGAACCATTCATAAACATCACCGCAAAAATGATTAAAACATTTATAGCGCCCATGTAAATAAGTAGTTGTGATGCAGCCACAAAATGGGAATTTGTTAAATATAGAATAAAGATACACAAACAAGAACAAGTCCCAATGAAAAAGCAGAAAAAAAGGATTCGTAAATAAGACTACTCCTAGACTTCCTAATATTAAACCTGATCCAAGAAATATTAAAAGTTATTAAAGAGTTATTGAAGAGTTACTGAATAGTTACTAAGAGTTACTGAAGAGTTACTAAAAGTTACTAAAGAGCTATTAAAGAGTTATTAAAAGCTATTAAAGAGTTACTAAAAGTTACTAAGAGTTACTCAGGAGTTACTAAGAGTTACTAAAGAGTTACTGAAAAGTTACTAAATGTTACTGAAGAGTTACTAAAAGAACTGAAGAGTTAATAATATGTTACTAAAAGTTATTGAAGAGTTACTGAAGAGTTACTAAAGAGTTACTAAGAGGTACTTAAGAGTTACTAAAGAGTTACTGAAGAGTTACTAAGACTTATTGAAGAGTTACTGAAAAGTTACTAAAAGTTACTAAAGAGTTACTAAAAATTACTAAGAAATACTCAAGAGTTACTAAGAGTTACTCAAGAGTTACTAATAGTTACTGAAGAGTTACTAAAGATTTACTAAGAGTTACTTAAGAGTTACTCAAGAGTTACTAAAAGTTACTAAGAGTTACTAAGAGTTACTAAAGAGTTGCTGAAAAGTTACTAAAAGTTACTGAAGAGTTACTGAAGAGTTACTAAAAGTTACTGAAGAGTTACTGAAGAGTTACTAAAAGTTACTAAGAGTTACTCAAGAGTTACTAAAGAATTACTATGAGTTACTGAAGAGTGACTAAAAGTTACTAAAAGTAAATAAGAGTTACTAAAAAGTTACTAAAGAGTTACTGAAGAGCTACTAAAGAGTTACAAAGAGTTACTAAAAGATTACTCAAGCGTTACTGAAGAGCTGCTAAAGAGTTACTAAGAGTTACTGAAGAGTTACTAAAAGTTAATAAAAGTTACCAAGAGTTCCTAAAGAGTTATTGAAAAGTTACTAAAAGTTATTGAAGAGTTAGTAAGATTTACTGAATAGTTACTGAAGAGTTACTAAAAGTTACAAAAAGTAACTAAGAGTTACTAAAAGTTACTAAGAGTTAGTCAAGAGATACTAAAGAGTTACTAAGAGTTACTGAAGAGTTACTAAGAGTTACTGAAGAGTTACTAAAAAGTTACCGAAGAGTTAGTAAGAGTTACTGAAGAGTTACTATGAGTTACTGAAAAGTTACTAAAAGTTACTTAAGAGTTCCTAAGAGTTACTGAAGAGTTACAAAAATGTTACTAAAGAGTTACTGAAAAGTTACTAAAATATACTGAAGAATTATTGAAGAGTTACTAAATGTACTGAAGAGTTACAAAAAGTTACTAAAAGTTACTGAAGAGTTACTAAAGAGGTACTAACAGTTACTGAGTTACTAAAGAGTTACTGAAGAGTTACTAAAGAGTTACTGAATAGTTACTAAAAGTTACTAAGAGTTACTAAAGAGTTACTCAAAAGTTATTAAAAGTTACTGAAGAGTTACTAAGAGTTACTGATAAGTTATTGAAGAGTTACTAAAAGTTACTAAGAGTTACTCAAGAGTTACTAAAAGTTACTAAGAGTTACACAAGATTTACTAAAGAGTTACTAAGAGTTACTCTAGAGTTAATAAGAGTTACTGAAGAGTTACTATAAGTTACTAAAGAGTTACTAAAGAGTTAATAAGAGTTACTGAAGAGTTACTAAGAGTTATTGAAGAGTTACTGAAAAGTTACTAACTTACTGAAGAGTTACTAAGAGTTATTGAAGAGTTACTAAAAGTTACTAAAATTTATTAAGAGTTACTAAAAGGTTACTATAGAGTTACAAAAGAGATGCTAAAGAATTACTGAAGAGTTACTAGGAGTTATTGAAGATTTACTAAGAGTTACTAAAGAATTATTAAGAGTTACTGAAGAGTTACTAAAGGTTACTAAAAGTTATTAAGAGTTACTAAAGAGTTATTGAAAAGTTACTGAATAGTTACTAAGATTTACAGAAGAGTTACTAAAAGTTATTAGAGAGTTACTGAAGAGCTGCTAAAGAGTTACTGAAGAGTTACTGAAGTGCTGCTAAAGAGTAACTGGAGAGTTACTAAGAGTTACTGGAGAGTTACTAAGAGTTACTTAAGAGTTACTAAAAGTAACTCAAAGTTACTAAGAGATATTGAAGAGTTAGTGAAGAGTTACTAAAAGTTACTAAGAGTTAATCAAGAGTTACTAAAAGTTACTGAAGAGTTACTGAAAAGTTACTGAAGAGTTACTAAAGAGTTACAAAGAGTTACTAAAAGGTTACTCAAGAGTTGTTTAAGAGCTGGTAAAGAGTTACTAAGAGTTACTGAAGTGTTACTAATAGTTATTGAAGAGTTACTAAGAGTTACTGAAGAGTTACAAAGAGTTACTAAGAGTTACTGAAGTGTTACTAAGAATTACTGAAGAGTTACTAAGAGTTACTTAAGAGTTACTAAAGGTTACTAAAAGTTATTAAGAGTTACTAAAGGAGTTATTGAAAAGTTACTTAAAGTTACTGAATAGTTACACAGAGTTACTGAAGAGCTACTAAAAGTTATTGGAGAGTTACTGAAGAGTGACTAAAAGTTAATAAGAATTCTAAAAAGTTACTAAAGAGTTACTGAAGAGTTGTTAAAGAGTTACCGAAGATTTACTAAGAGTTACTGAAGAGTTACTAAAAGTTACTCAAAGTTACTAAGAGTTACTAAAGAGTTACTAGGAGTTATTGAAGAGTTACTCAAGAGTTACTAAAAGTCACTAAAAGTTACTAAGAGTTACTCAGGAATTACTAAAAGTTACTGAAGAGTTACTGAAAAATTACTAAAAAGTTACTGAAGAGTTACTAAAGAGTTACCGAAGAGTTACTAAAAGTTACTGAAGAGTTACTGAAGAGTTACTGAAGAGTTACTGAAGAGTTATTGAAGAGTTACTAAGAGTTACTAAAAGGTTACTCAAGAGTTATTTAAGAGCTGCTAAAGAGTTACTAAGAGTTACTGAAATGTTACTAATAGTTACTGAAGAGTTACAAAGAGTTACTAAGAGTTACTGAAGACTTACTAAAAGTTACTGAAAGTTACTAAGAGTTAATCAAAAGTTAATAAAGAGTTACTAAGAGTTACTGAAGAGTTACTAAAAATTACTGAAGAGTTACTAAAAGTTACTAAAGTGTTACTAAAAGTTACTGAAGAGTTACTAAAGATTTACTGTAGACTTATTGAAGACTTACTAAAATTTACTAAAAGTTACTAAGAGTTACTCAAGAGTTACTAAGAGTTACTAAAGATTTACTGAAGAGTTACTAAAGAGTTACTGAAGAGTAACTAAAAGTGACTAAGATTGACTGAAAAGTTACTAAAATTACTGAATAGTTACTGAAGAGTTACTGAAGAGTTACTAAGAGTTACTCAAGAGTTACTATGAGTTACTGAAAAGTTACTAAAAGTTACTTAAGAGTTCCTAAGAGTTACTGAAGAGTTACTAAAATGTTACTAAAGAGTTACTGAAAAGTTAATAAAATATACTGAAGAGTTACTAAAGAGCTACTAAGAGTTACTAATAATTATTGAAGAGTTACTGAAGAGTTACTAAATGTACTGAAGAGTTACTGAAGAGGTACTAAGATTTACTAAAGATTTACTGAAGAGTTACTAAAGAGTTACTGAATAGTTACTAAAAGTTACTAAGACTTAGTAAAGAGTCACTCAAAAGTTACTAATAGTTACTGAAGAGTTACTGAAGAGTTACTAAGAGTTACTGAAGAGTTACTATGAGTTACTGAAAAGTTACTAAAAGTTACTTAAGAGTTCATAAGAGTTACTGAAGAGTTACTAAAATGTTAATAAAGAGTTACTGAAAAGTTACTAAAATATACTGAAGAGTTATTGAAGAGTTACTAAAGAGCTACTAAGAGTTACTAATAGTTATTAAAGAGCTACTAAAGAGTTACTAATTGTACTGAAGAGTTACTGAAGAGGTACTAAGAGTTACTAAAGATTTACTGAAGAGTTACTAATGAGTTACTGAATAGTTACTAAAAGTTACTAAGAGTTACTAAAGAGTTACTCAAAAGTTACTAATAGTTACTGACGACTTACTAAGAGTTACTGAAAAGTTACTGAAAAGTTACTAAAAGTTACTCAAGAGTTACTAAAAGTTACTAAGAGTTACTCAAGATTTACTAAAGAGGTACTAAGAGTTATTCTAGAGTTATTAAGAGTTACTGAAGAGTTACTATAAGTTACTAAAGAGTTACTAAAGAGTTACTAAGAGTTACTGAAGAGTTATTGAAGAGTGACTAAGAGTTATTGAAGAGTTACTGAAAAGTTACTAAAACTTACTGAAGAGTTACTGAAGAGTTACTAAAATTTATTAAGAGTTACTAAAAGGTTACTAAAGAGTTACAAAGAGATGCTAAAGAATTACTGAAGAGTTAATAAGAGTTACTGAAGATTTACTAATAGTTACTAAAGAATTATTAAGAGTTACCGAAGAGTTACTAAAGGTTACTAAAAGTTATTAAGAGTTACTAAAGAGTTATTGAAAAGTTACTAAAAGTTACTGGAGAGTTACTGAAGAGTGACTAAAAGTTAATAAGAGTTCTAAAAAGTTACTAAAGAGTTACTGAAGAGCTGTTAAAGAGTTACTGAAGAGTTACTAAGAGTTACTGAAGAGTTACTAAGAGTTACTGAAGAGTTACTAAAAGTTACTCAAAGTTACTAATAGTTACTAAAGAGTTACTAGAGTTACTAAAAGTTATTGAAGAGTTACTGAAGAGTTACTAAAAGATTCTAAGAGTTACTCAAGAGTTACTAAGAGTTACTCAAGAGTTACTAAAAGTTACTGAAGAGTTACTGAAGAATTACTGAAAAGTTACTGAAGAGTTACTAAAGAGTTACTGAAGAGTTACTAAGAGTTACTAAAGAGTTACTGAAGAATTACTAAGAGTTACTAAAAGGTTACTCAGGAGTTATTTAAGAGCTGCTAAAGAGTTACTAAGAGTTACTGAAGTGTTACTAAGAGTTAGTGAAGAGTTACTAAGAGTTACTAAAGAGTCACAAAGAGTTACTAAGAGTTACTGAAGACTTACTAAAAGTTAATAAAAGTTAATAAAAGTTACTAAGAGTTACTCAAAAGTTACTAAAGAGTTACTAAGAGTTACTGAAGAGTTACTAAGAGTTACTGAAGAGTTACTAAGAGTTACTAAAGAGTTACTAAGAGTTACTGATGTGTTACTAAGAGTTACTCAAGAGTTACTCAAGAGTTACTCAAGAGTTACGCAAGAGTTACTCAAGAGTTATTCAAGAGTTTCTAAAAGTTACTGAAAAGTTGTTGCAGAGTTACTGAAGACTTACTAAAATTTACTAAAAGTTACTAAGAGTTACTCAAGAGTTACTAAAGATTTACTGAAGAGTTACTAAAGAGTTACTGAAGTGTTACTAAAAGTGACTAAGAGTTACTGAAAAGATACTAAAAGTTACTGAAGAGTTACGAAAGAGTTACTGAATAGTTACTAAAAGTTACTCAAGAGTTACTAAGAGTTACTGAAGAGTTACTGAAGAGATACTAAAAAGTTACTAAGAGTTATTGAAGAGTTACATAATTGTTACTAAAAGTTAATAAAGAGTTACTAAGATTTACTGAAGAGTTACTGAAGAATTACTAAAAGTTACTAAAAATTACTAAGAAATACTAAAGAGTTACTAAGAGTTACTGAAGAGTTACTAATAGTTACTAGGAATTACTAAAGATTTACTAAGAGTTACTGAAGAGTTCTTGAAGAGTTACTAAATGTTACTAAGACTTACTGAAAAGTTACTAAAAGTTGTTAAAGAGTTACTAAGAGTACTGAAGAGTTACTAGAAGTTACTGAAGAGTTACTCAAGAGTTAATAAAGAGTTACTAAGAGTTACTGAAGAGTTACTGAAGAGTGACTAAAATTTACTAAAAGTAAATAAGAGTTTCTAAAAAGTTCCTAAAGAGTTAGTGAAGAGCTGCTAAAAAGTTACTAAGAGTTACTAAAAGGTTACTCAAGAGATACTGAAGAGCTGCTAAAGAATTACTGAAGAGTTACTAAAGGTTACTTAGAGTTCCTAAAGAGTTAATGAAAAGTTACTAAAAGTTATTGAAGAGTTACTAAGATTTACTGAATAGTTACTGAAGAGTTACTAAAAGTTACTAAAAGTAACTAAGAGTTACTCAAGAGTTACTAAAAGTTACTAAGAGTTAGTCAAGAGATACTAAAGAGTTACTAACAGTTACTGAAGAGTTAATAAGAGTTACTGAGGAGTTACTAAAAAGTTACTAAAGAGTTACTAAGAGTTACTGAAGAGTTACTATGAGTTACTGAAAAGTTACTAAAAGTTACTCAACATTTACTAAGAGTTACTGAAGAATTACTAAGAGTTACTGAAGAGTTACTAAAAGTTACTAAGAGTTACTAAAATGTTACTAAAGAGTTACTGAAGAGCTGCTAAAGAGTTACTGAAGAGTTACTGAAGAGTTATTAAGGGTTACTAAAATATACTGAATAGTTACTAAGGAGTTACTGAGATTTACTGAAGAGTTACTAATAGTTACTGAAGAGTTACTAAAGAGTTACTAAACGTACTGAAGAGTTACTAAGAGTTACTAAATTGTTACTAAAAGTTACTGAAGAGTTACTAAAGATTTACTAAAGAGTTACTAAAGAGCTACTGAAGAGTTACTAAAAGTTACTAAGAGTTACTAAAGAGTTACTCAAAAGTTACAAAAGTTACTGAAGAGTTACTGAAGAGTTACTAAAAGTTACTAAGAGTTACTAAAAGTTACTAAGAGTTACTCAAGAGTTACTAAAGAGTTACTAAGAGTTACTCTAGAGTTACTAAGAGTTACTCTAGAGTTACTAAGAGTTACTGAAAAGTTACTAAAGAGTTACTTAAGAGTTACTAAAGAGTTACTAAGAGTTACTGAAGAGTTACTAAGAGTTAGTGAAGAGTTACTAAAAGTTATTAAGTGTTACTAAAAGGTTCCTTAAGAGTTACAAAGGAGATGCTAAATAATTACTGAAGAGTTATTGAAGATTTACTAAGAGTTACTAAAGAATTACTAAGAGTTACTGAAGAGTTACTAAAAGCTACTAAGAGTTACTAAAGAGTTACTGAAAAGTTACTAAAAGTTACTAAAGAGTTACTAAGAGTTAATAAAGAGTTACTGAAGATTTACTAAGAGTTACTGAAGAGTTACTAAAAGTTACTGAAGAGTTACTGAAGAGTGACTAAAAGTTAATGAGTTCTAAAAAGTTACTAAAGAGTTACTGAAGAGGTGCTAAATAATTACTGAAGAGTTACTAAGAGTTAATGAAGAGTTACTAAAAGTTATTAAGAGTTACTCAAGAGTTACTAAGAGTTACTAAAGAGTTACTGAAAAGTTACTAAATGTTACTGAAGAGTTACTAAAAGAACTGAAGAGTTACTAATGTGTTACTAAAAGTTACTAAAGAGTTACTAAAGAGTTACTAAGAGGTTCTTAAGAGTTACTAAGTGTTACTAAAGAGTTACTAAGACTTATTGAAGAGTTACTGAAAAGTTACTAAAGAGTTACTGAAGAGTTACTAAAAGTTACTAAAAATTACTCAGAAATACTCAAGAGTTACTAAAGACTTACTAAGAGTTACTACAGAGTTACTAATAGTTACTGAAGAGTTACTAAGAGTTACTAAAGATTTACTAAGAGTTACTTAAGAGTTACTCAAGAGTTACTCAAAGTTACTAAGAGTTACTAAAGAGTTACTGAAAAGTTACATAAAGTTACTGAATAGTTTCAAAGAGTTACTGAAGAGTTACTAAAGAGTTAGTGAAAAGTTACTGAAGAGTTACTAAGACTAAGAGTTACTAAAGAGTTACTAAAGAGTTACTATGAGTTATTGAAGAGTGACTAAAAGTTACTAAAAGTAAATAAGAGTTACTAAAAAGTTACTAAAGAGTTACAGAAGAGCTGTTAAAGAGTTACAAAGAGTTACTAAAAGGTTACTCAAGATTCTGAAGAGCTGCTAAAGAGTTACTGAGAGTTACTAAGAGTTGCTGAAGAGTTACTAAAAATTTATAAAACTTACTAAGAGTTCCTAAAGAGTTATTGAAAAGTTACTAAAAGGTATTTAAGAGTTACGAAGATTTACTGAAGAGTTACTAAGATTTACTGAATAGTTACTGAAGAGTTATTAAAAGTTATAAAAAGTAACTAAGAGTTACTCAAGAGTTACTAAAAGTTACTAAGAGTTAGTCAAGAGATACTAAAGAGTTACTAAAAAGTTACTGAAGAGTTACTAAGATTTACTGAAGAGTTACTAAGAGAAGAGTTACTATGAGTTACTGAAAAGTTACTAAATGTTACTAAAGAGTTCCTAAGAGTTACTGAAGAGTTACTAAAATGTTACTAAAGAGTTACTAAAAAGTTACAAAAATATACTGAAGAGTTACTAAAGAGCTACTAAGAGTTACTGAACAGTTACTAAGAGTTACTAATAGTTACTGAGGAGTTCCTAAATGTACTGAAGAGTTACTAAGAGTTACTAAAGTGTTACTAAATGTTACTGAAGAGTTACTGAAGAGGTACTAAGAGTTACTAAAGATTTACTGAAGAGTTACTAAAGAGTTACTGAATAGTTACTAAAAGTTAATAAGAGTTACTAAAGAGTTACTCAAAAGTTACTAAAAGTCATGGAAGAGTTACTAAGAGTTACTGAAAAGTTACTGAAGAGTTACTAAAAGTTACTGAGAGTTACTCAAGAGTTACTAAAAGTTACTAAGAGTTACTCAAGATTTACTAAAGAGTTACTAAAGAGTTACTAAGGTTAATAAAGAGTTACTGAAGATTTACTAAGAGTTCCTGAAGAGTTACTAAAAGTTACTGAAGAGTTACTGAAGAGTGACTAAAAGTTAATAAGAGTTCGAAAAAGTTACTAAAGAGTTACTGAAGAACTGCTAAAGAGTTACTAAAGAGTTACTAAGAGTTACTGAAGAGTTACTAAAAGTTATTAAGACTTACTCAAGAGTTACTAAGAGTTACTAAAGAGTTACTGAAAAGTTACTAAGACTTATTGAAGAGTTACAGAAAAGTTACTGAAGAGTTACTAAAGAGTTACTAAAAGTTACTAAAAATTACTAAGAAATACTCAAGAGTTACTAAAGAGTTACTAAGAAATACTCAAGAGTTACTCAAGAGTTACTAATAGTTACTGAAGAGTTACTAAGAGTTACTAAAGATTTACTAAGAGTTACCGAAGAGTTACTGAAGAGTTACTAAAAGTTACTGAAGAGTTACTAAGAGTTACTGAAGAGTTACTCAAGAGTTACTAAAGAGTTACTATGAGTTACAGAAGAGTTGCTGAAGAGTGACTAAAAGTTACTAAAAGTAAATAAGAGTTATTAAAAAGTTACTAAAGAGTTACTGAAGAGTTGCTAAAGAGTTACAAAGAGTTACTAAAAGGTTACTCAAGAGTTATTGAAGAGTTGTTAAAGAGTTACTAAGAGTTACTAAAAGTTACTGAAAAGTTACTAAGAGTTTCTGAAGAGTTACTAAAACTTAATAAAAGTTACTAAGAGTTCCTAAAGAGTTATTGAAAAGTTACTAAAAGTGATTGAAGAGTTACTAAAATTTACTGAATAGTTATTGAAGAGTTACTAAAAGTTACAAAAACTAACTAAGAGTTACTCAAGAGTTACTAAAAGTTACTAAGAGTTAGTCAAAAGATACTAAAGAGTTACTAAGAGTTACTAAAAAGTTACTGAATAATTACTAAGAGTTACTGAAGAATTACTAAAATTTTACTAAAGAGTTACTGAAAAATTACTAAAATATATTGAAGAGTTACTGAAGAGTTACTAAAGAGCTACTAAGAGTTACTAAGAGTTACTAATAGTTACTGAAGAGTTACTAAATGTATTGAAGAGTTACTAAGAGTTACTAAAGTGTTACTAAAAGTTACTGAAGAGTTACTGAAGAGGTACTAAGAGTTACTAAAGAGTTACTAAAGAGTTACTGAATAGTTACTGAATAGTTGCTAAAAGTTACTAAGAGTTATAAAGAGTTACTCAAAAGTTACTAAAAGTTACTGAAGAGTTACTAAGAGTTACTGAAAAGTTACTAAAAGTTACTGAAGAGTTACTAAAAGTTGCTAAGAGTTACTCAAGAGTTACTAAAAGTTACTAAGAGTTACTAAAGAGTTACTAAGAGTTACTCTAGAGTTACTAAGAGTAACTGAAGAGTTACTGAAAAGTTACTAAAAGTTACTAAAGAGTTACTAAAGAGTTACTAATAGTTAGTGAAGGGTTACTGAAGAGTAAATAAGAGTTATTGAAGAGTTACTGAAAAGTTACTAAAAGTTACTGAAGAGTTACTAAAAGTTACTAAAATTTCTTAAGAGTTACTAAAAGGTTACTAAAGAGTTACAAAAGAGATGATAAAGAATTACTGAAGAGTTACTAAGAGTGACTGAATATTTACTAAGAGTTACTAAGGAATTTTTAAGAGTTACTGAAGAGTTACTAACAGTTACTAAAAGATACTAAGAGTTACTAAAGAGTTCCTGAAAAGTTACTGAAGAGTTACTAAAAGTTACTGGAGAGTTACTGAAGAGTGACTAAAAGTTAATAAGAGTTCTAAAGAGATACTAAAGAGTTACTGAAGTGCTGCTAAAGAGTTACTGAAGAGTTCCTAAGAGTTACTGAAGAGTTACTAAAAGTTACTCAAAGTTACTAAGAGTTACTGAAGAGTTACCAAGAGTTATTGAAGAGTTACTAAAGAGTTACTAAAAGTTACTAAGAGTTACTCAAGAGTTACTAAAAGTTACTGAAGAGTTACAGAAAAATTACTGAAAACGTACTGAAGAATTACTAAAGAGTTAGTTAGAGTTACTGAAGAGTTACTAAGAGTTACTGAAGAGTTACTAAAGAGTTACTGAAAAGTTACTAAAAGATACTGAAGAGTTACTGAAGAGTTATGAAAAAGTTATTGAATAGTTACTAAAAGTATCCAAAAGTTACTCAAGAGTTACTAAGAGTTACCGAAAAGTTACTAAGAGTTAGTGAAGAGTTACAGAATTGTTACTAAAAGTTACTAAGAGTTAGTGAAGAGTTACTGAAGAGTTAGTAAAAGTTACTAAAAATTACTAAGAAATACTCAAGAGTTACTAAAGAGTTACTGAAGAGTTACTAATAGTTACTGAAGAGTTACTAAGAGTTACTAAAGATTTACTAAGAGTTACTGAAGAGTTACTGAAGAGTTACTAAAAATTACTAAGAAATACTCAAGAGTTACTAAGAGTTACTCAAGAGTTACTCAAGAGTTAATAATAGTTACTGAAGAGTTACTAAAGGTTTACTAAGAGTTACTTAAGAGTTACTCAAGAGTTACTAAAGAGTTACTAAGAGTTACTCTAGAGTTACTGAATAGTTACTAAAAGTTACTCAAGAGTTACTAAGAGTTAGTGAAGAGTTACTAAAAAGTTACTAAGAGTTACTGAAGAGTTACTGAAGAATTACTAAAAGTTACTAAAAACTTCTAAGAAATACTAAAGAGTTACTAAAGAGTTACTAAGAGTTACTGAAGAGTTACTAATAGTTACTGAAGAGTTACTAAGAATTACCAAAGATTTACTAAGAGTTACTGAAGAGTTCTTGAAGAGTTACTAAAAGTTACTAAGAGTTACTAAAGAGTTACTGAAAAGTTACTAAAAGTTGCTAAAGAGTTACTAAGAGTACTGAAGAGTTACTAAAAGTTACTAAAATTTACTGAAGAGTTACTAAAGAGTTACTAAGAGTTACTGAAGAGTTACTGAAGACTGACTAAAAGTTACTAAAAGTAAATAAGATTTACTAAAAAGTTACTAAAGAGTTAATGAAGAACTGCTAAAAAGTTACTAAGAGTTACTAAATGGTTACTCAAGAGTTACTGAAGAGCTGCTAAAGAGTTACTAAGAGTTATTGAAGAGTTACTAAAAGTTACTTAGAGTTCCTAAAGAGTTAATAAAAGTTACTAAAAGTTTTTGAAGAGTTACTAAGATTTACTGAATAGTTACAGAAGAGTTACTAAAAGTTACTAAAAGTAACTAAGAGTTACTCAAGAGTTACTAAAAGTTACTAAGAGTTAGTCAAGAGATACTAAAGAGTTACTAACAGTTACTGAAGAGTTACTAAGAGTTACTGAGGAGTTACTAAAAATTTACTGAAGAGTTACTAAGAGTTACTGAAAAGTTACTCAACATTTACTAAGAGTTACTGAAGAATTACTAAGAGTTATTGAAGAGTTACTAAAAAGTTACTCAACATTTACTAAGAGTTACTGAAGAATTACTAAGAGTTATTGAAGAGTTACTAAAAGTTACTAAGAGTTACTAAAATGTTACTAAATAGTTAGTGAAGAGCTGCTAAAGAGTTACTGAAGAGTTACTGAAAAGTTATTAAGAGTTACTAAAATATACTGAAGAGTTACTAAAGGTTTACTAAGAGTTACTAAAGAGTTACTGAGATTTACTGAAGAGTTACTAAGAGTTACTAATAGTTACTGAAGAGTTACTGAAGAGTTATTAAATGTACTGAAGTGTTACTAAGAGTTACTAAATTGTTACTAAAAGTTACTGAAGAGTTACTAAAGATTTACTGAAGAGTTACTAAAGAGCTACTGAAGAGTTACTAAAAGTTACTAAGAGTTACTAAAGAGTTACTGAAAAGTTACTGAAGAGTTAGTAAGAGTTACTAAAGAGTTACTGAAGATTTACTACGAGTTACTGAAGAGTTACTAAAAGTTACTGGAGAGTTACTAAAGAGTGACTAAAAGTTAATAGAGTTATAAAAAGTTACTAAAGAGTTACTGAAGAGTTGCTAAAGAGATACTGAAGAGTTACTAAGAGTTACTAAGAGTTACTGAAGAGTTACTAAAGAGTTACTGAAAATTTACTGAAGAGTTACTAAAAGAACTGAAGATTTACTAATGTGTTACTAAAAGTTACTGAAGAGTTACTGAAGAGTTACTAAAGAGTTACTAAGAGGTACTTAAGAGTTACTAAAGAGTTACTGAAGAGTTACTGAAGAGTTACTAAGTCTTATTGAAGAGTTACTGAAAAGTTACTAAAGAGTTACTGAAGAGTTACTAAAAATTACTAAGAAATACTCAAGAGTTACTAAAAAGTTACTAAGAGTTACTCAAGAGTTACTAATAGTTACTGAAGAATTACTGAAGAGTTATTAAATATACTGAAGTGTTACTAAGAGTTACTAAATTGTTACTAAAAGTTACTAAAGAGTTACTAAAGATTTACTGAAGAGCTACTAAAGAGCTACTGAAGAGTTACTTAAAGTTACTAAGAGTTACTAAAGAGTTACTCAAAAGTTACTAAAAGTTACTGAAGAGTTACTGAAGAGTTACTAAAAGTTACTAAGAGTTACTCAAAGTTACTAAGAGTTACTCAAGAGTTACTAAAGAGTTACTAATAGTTACTCTAGAGTTACTAAGAGTTACTGAATAGTTATTGAAAAGTTACTAAAGAGTTACTTAAGAGTTACTAAAGCGTTACTGAAGAGTTACTAAGAGTTACTGAAGTGTTACTAAAAGTTATTAAGTGTTACTAAAAGATTACTAAAGAGTTACAAAAGAGATGCTAAAGAATTACTGAAGAGTTACTAAGAGTTACTGAAGATTTACAAAGAGTTACTAAAGAATTACTAAGAGTCACTGAAGAGTTACTAAAGAGTTACTAAGAGTTACTAAAGAGTTACTGAAAAGTTACTGAAGAGTTACTAAGATTTACTAAAGAGTTACTGAAGATTTACTAAGAGTTACTGAAGAGTTACTAAAACTTACTGGAGAGTTACTGAAGAGTGACTAAAAGTTAATAAGAGTTATAAAAAGTTACTAAAGAGTTACTGAAGAGCTGCTAAAGAGATACTGAAGAGTTACTAAGAGTTACTGAAGAGTTACTAAAGAGTTACTGAAAAGTTACTGAAGAGTTACTAAAAGAACTGGAGTTTTACTAATGTGTTACTAAAAGTTACTGAAGAGTTACTAAAGAGTTAATAAAGAGTTACTAAGAGGTACTTAAGCGTTACTAAAGAGTTACTGAAGAGTTACTAAGACTTATTGAAGAGTTACTGAAAAGTTACTAAAGAGTTACTGAAGAGTTACTGAAGAGTTACTAAAAATTACTAAGAAATACTCAAGAGTTACTAAAAAGTTACTAAGAGTTACTCAAGAGTTACTCAAGAGTTACTAATAGTTACTGAATAGTTACTAAGAGTTACTAAAGATTTACTAAGAGTTACTTAAGAGTTACTCAAGAGTTACTAAAAGTTACTAAGAGTTACTAAAGAGTTACTGAAAAGTTACTAAAAGTTACTAAGAGTTACTGAAGAGTTACTAAAGAGTTAGTGAAAAGTTACTAAAAGTTACTGTAGAGTTACTAAAAGTTACTAAGAGTTACTCAAGAGTTACTAAAGAGTTACTATGAGTTACTGAAGAGTTACTGAAGAGTGACAACAAGTTACTAAAAGTAAATAAGAGTTAATAAAAAGTTACTAAGGAGTTACTGAAAAGCTGCTAAAGAGTTACAAATAGTTACTAAATGGTTACTCAAGAGTTACTGAAGAGCTGCTAAAGAGTTACTAAGAGTTGTTGAAGAGTTACTAAGAGTTACTAAAAGTTAATAAAAGTTACTAAGAATTCCTAAAGAGTTATTGAAAAGTTACTAAAAGGTATTGAAGAGTTACTAAGATTTACTGAATAGTTACTGAAGAGTTACTAAAAGTTATAAAAAGTAACTAAGAGTTACTAAAAGTTACTAAGAGTTAGTCAAGAGATACTAAAGAGTTACTAAGAGTTACTAAAAAGTTACTGAAGAGTTACTAAGAGTTATTGAAGAGTTACTGAAGAGTTACTGAAAACTTACTAAATGTTACTAAAGAGTTCCTAAGAGCTACTGAAGAGTTACTGAAGAGTTACTGAAAAGTTACTAAATGTTACTAAAGAGTTCCTAAGAGCTACTGAAGAGTTACTAAAATGTTACTAAAGAGTTACTTGAAAATTACTAAAATATACTGAAGGGTTGCTGAAGAGTTACTAAAGAGCTACTAAGAGTAACTAAGAGTTACTATTAGTTACAGAAGAGTTACTAAATGTACTGAAGAGTTACTAAATGTAATGAAGAGTTACTAAGAGTTACTAAAGTGTTACGAAAGGTTACTGAAGAGTTACTGAAGAGGTACTAAGAGTTACTAAAGATTTACTGAAGAGTTACTAAAGAGTTACTGAATAGTTACTAAAAGTTACTAAGAGTTACTAAAGAGTTACTCAAAAGTTACTAAAAGTTACGGAAGAGTTACTAAGAGTTACCGAAAAGTTAATAAAGAGTTCCTAAAAGTTACTAAGAGTTACTCAAGAGTTACTAAAAGTTACTAAGAGTTACTCAAGAGTTACTAAAGAGTTAATAAGAGTTACTCTAGAGTTACTAAGAGTTACTGAAGAGTTATTGAAAAGTTACTAAATATATAATAAAGAGTTACTAAAGAGTTACTAAGAGTTACTGAAGAGTGACTGAAGAGTTACTAAGAGTTATTGAAGAGTTACTAAAAAGTTACTATGAGTTACTGAAAAGTTACTAAAAGTTACTAAAGAGTTCCTAAGAGTTACTGAAGAGTTACTAAGAATTACTCAAGAGTTACTAAAAGTTACTAAGTGTTACTCAATAGTTACTAAAGAGTTACTAAGAGTAACTGAAGAGTTACTGAGGAGTTACTGAAGAGTTACTGAAGAGTTACTAAGAGTTACTGAAGAGTTACTAAGAGTTACTGAAAACTTACTAAAAGTTACTGAAGAGTTACTAAGAAATACTGAAGAGTTACTGAGAGTTACTGAAAAAAGTTACTGAAGAGTTACTAAGAAATACTGAAGAGTTACTGAGAGTTACTGAAAAGTTTCTAAAAGTTACTAAAGAGTTATTAAAGTGTTACTAAAAGCTGCTAAAGAGTTACTAAAAGTTACTAAGAGTTACTCAAGAGTTACTAAGAGTTACTCAAGAGTTACTAAGAGTTACTAAAGAGTTACTCAAGAGTTACTAAGAGTTACTAATAGTTACTCAAGAGTTATTAAGAGTTACTAAAGATTTACTAAGAGTTACTTAAGAGTTACTGAAGAGTTACTAAAAGTTACTAAGAGTTACTAAAGAGTTACTGAAAAGTTACTAAAAGTTACTGAAGAGTTACTAAGAGTTACTGAAGTGTTACTAAAAGTTACTGAAGAGTTACTAAGAGTTACAGAAGAGTTACTCATGAGTTACTAAAGAGTAACTATGAGTTACTGAAGAGTTACTGTGAAGAGTGACTAAAAGTTACTAAAAGTAAAAAAGAGTTACTAAAAAGTTACTAAAAAGTTACTGAAAAGCTGTTAAAGAGTTACAAAAAGTTACTAAAAGGTTACTCAAGAGATACTAAAGAGCTGTTAAAGAGTTACTAAGAGTTAATAAGAGTTACTTTAAAGTTACTAAGAGTTTCTGAAGAGTTACTAAAAGTTAATAAAAGTTATTAAGAGTTATTGAAAAGTTACTAAAAATGATTGAAGAGTTACTAAGATTTACTGAATGGTTACTGAAGAGTTACTAAAAGTTACAAAAAGTAACTAAGACTTACTCAAGAGTTACGAAAAGTTACTAAGAGTTAGTCAAGAGATACTAAAGAGTTACTAAGAGTTACTGAAGAGTTACTAAAAATTTACTGAAGAGTTACTAAGAGTTACTGAAGAGTTACTAAAGAGTTCCTAAGAGTTACTGAAGAGTTACTAAAATGTTACTAAAGAGTTACTAGAAAATTACTAAAATATACTGAAGAGTTACTGAAGAGTTACTAAAGAGCTACTAAGAGTAACTAAGAGTTACTAATAGTTACAGAAGAGTTACTAAATGTACTGAAGAGTTACTAAATGTACTGAAGAGTTACTAAGAGTTACTAAAGTGTTACGAAAAGTTACTGAAGAGTTACTGAAGAGGTACTAAGAGTTACTAAAGATTTACTGAAGAGTTACTAAAGAGTTACTGAATAATTACTAAAAGTTACTAAGAGTTACTAAAGAGTTACTCAAAAGTTACTAAAAGTTACGGAAGAGTTACTAAGAGTTACCAAAAAGTTACTAAAGAGTTACTAAAAGTTACTAAGAGTTACTCAAGAGTTACTAAAAGTTACTAAGAGTTACTCAAGAGTTACTAAAGAGTTAATAAGAGTTACTCTAGAGTTACTAAGAGTTACCGAAGAGTTACTGAAGAGTTACTTAAAGTTACTAAAAGTTACGGGAGAGTTACTGACGAGTGACTAAAAGTTAATAAGAGTTACTAAAAAGTTACTAAAGAGTTACTGAAGAGGTGCTAAAGAGTTACTGAAGAGTTACTAAGAGTTACTGAAGAGTTACTAAAAGTTACTCAAAGTTACTAAGAGTTACTGAAGAGTTACTAACAGTTACTCAAAGTTACTAAGCGTTACTGAAGAGTTACTCAAGAGTTACTAAAAGTTACTAAGAGTTACTCAAGAGTTACTAAAAGTTACTCAAGAGTTACTAAAAATTACTGAAGAGTTACCTAAGACTTACTAAAGAGATACTAAGAGTTACTGAAGAGTTACTAAGAGTTACTAATAGTTACGGAAGAGTTATTGAAGAGTTACTAAAAGTAATAAAGAGTTACTAAGAGTTATTAAAGTGTTACTAAAAGTTACTAAAGAGTTGTTGAAGAGTTACTAAGAGTTACTAAATAGTTACTGAAGAGTTACTCAAGAGTTACTAAAAGTTACTAAGAGTTACTAAAGAGTTACTGAAAAGGTACTAAATGTTACTGAAGAGTTACTAAGAGTTACTAAAGAGTTACTGAAGAGTTACTAAAAGTTACTAAAAGTTACTAAGAGTTACTCAAGAGTTACTAAAAGTTACAAAGAGTTACTCAAGAGTTACTAAAGAGTTACTAAGAGTTACTAAAGTTACTAAAGTGTTACTAAGAGTTACTAAAAGTTACTGAAAAGTTACTGAAGAGTTATTAAGAATTACTGAAATCGTTATTCAGAGTTGCTGAAAAGTTACTTAGAGTTACTAAAGAGTTACTAAGAGTTACTGAAGAGTGACTAAAAGTTACTAAAAGTTAATAATAATTACTAAAAAGTTACTAAAGAGTTACGGAAGAGCTGCTAAAGAGTTACTGAAGAGTTACTAACAGTTACTAAAGAGTTACTAAGAGATACTAAGAAGTTACTAAAAGTTAATAATAATTACTAAAAAGTTACTAAAGAGTTACGGAAGAGCTGCTAAAGAGTTACTGAGAGTTACTGAAGAATTACTAAAAAATTACTACAAATTACTGAAGAGTTACTGAAGTGTTACTAAAAGTTACTCAAGAGTTACTAAAAATTACTGAAGAGTTACTTAAGACTTACTAAAGAGTTACTAAGAGTTACTGAAGAGTTAATAATAGTTACTGAAGAGTTACAGAAGAGTTACTAAAAGTATTGAAGAGTTACTAAGAGTTACTAAAGTGTTACTGAAAAGTTACTAAGAGTTACTGAAGAGTTTCTAAGAGTTACTAAAGAATTACTAAGAGTTACTGAAGAATTACTAAAAGTTACTACGAATTATTAAAAAGTTACTGAAGAGTTACTAAAAGTTTCTGAAGAGTTACTAAGAGCTACTGAAGAGTTACTGAAGAGTTACTGAAGACTTACTAAGAGTTACTGAAGAGTTACTAAGAGTTACTGAAAATTTACTAAGAGTTACTGAAAAAGTTACTTAGAGTTCTAGAAGAGTTACTAAAAGTTAGTAAGAGTTACTAAAAGGTTACTAAAGAGTTACTGAAGAGCTGCTAAAGAGTTACTGAGAAGTTCATAAGGGTTACTAAAGATTTATTAAGAGTTACTTAAGAGTTACTGAATATTTACTAAAAGTTACTAAAAGTTAGTAAGAGTTACTGAAAAGTTACTGAAGAGTTACTAAGAGTTACTGGAGAGTTACTCAGAGTTACTGAAGAGTTAATAAAAGTTACTAAGAGTTACTGATGAGCTACTGAAGAGTGACTAAAAGTTACTGAATGTTAATAAGAGTTACTGAGAGTTACTGAAGAACTACTAAAGAGTTAGTAAGAGTTACTAAAGAGTTAGTAAGAGTTACTGAAGAGTTACTAAGAGTTACTAAAGAGTTACTAAAAGTTACTAAGAGTTACTAAAGAGTTACTAAAAGTTACTAAAGAGTTACTAACAGTTACTGAATATTTAGTAAAAGTTACTCAAGAGATACTGAAGAGCTGTTAAAGAGTTACTAAGAGTTAATAAGAGTTACTTTAAAGTTACTAAGAGTTTATGAAGAGTTACTAAAAGTTAATAAAGTTACTAAGAGTTCCTAAAGAGTTATTGAAAAGTTACTAAAAGTGATTGAAGAGTTACTAAGATTTACTGAATAGTTACTGAAGAGTTACTAAAAGTTACAAAAAGTAACTAAGACTTACTCAAGAGTTACGAAAAGTTACTAAGAGTTAGTCAAGAGATACTAAAGAGTTACTAAGAGTTACTGAAGAGTTACTAAGAGTTACTGAAGAGTTACTAAAGAGTTCCTAAGAGTTACTGAAGAGTTACTAAAATGTTACTAAAGAGTTACTGGAAAATTACTAAAATATACTGAAGAGTTAATGAAGAGTTACTAAAGACCTACTAAGAGTTACTAATAGTTACTGAAGAGTTACTAAATGTACTGAAGAGTTACTAAAGTGTTACTAAAAGTTACTGAAGAGTTACTGAAGAGGTACTAAGAGTTACTAAAGATTTACTGAAGAGTTACTAAAGAGTTACTGAATAGTTACTAAAAGTTACTAAGAGTTACTAAAGAGTTACTCAAAACTTACTAAAAGTTACTGAAGAGTTACTGAAAATTTACTGAAGAGTTACTAAAAGTTACTAAGAGTTACTCAGGAGTTACTAAAACTTACTAAGAGTTACTAAAGAGTTACTAAGAGTTACTCTAGAGTTACTAAGAGTTACTGAAGAGTTACTAAAAGTTACTAAAGAGTTACTAAACAATTACTAAGAGTTATTGAAGGGTTACTGAAGAGTTACTAAGAGTTACTAAGAGTTACTGAAGAGTTACTAAGAGTTACTAAAGAGTTACGAAAAGTTACTAAAATTTATTAAGAGTTACTAAAAGGTTACTAAAGAGTTACAAAAGAGATGCTAAAGAATTACTGAAGAGTTACTAAGAGTTACTGAATATTTACTAAGAGTTAGTAAAGAATTATTAAGAGTTACTGAAGAGTTACTAAAACTAAAAGATACTAAGAGTTACTAAAGAGTTACTGAAAAGTTACTAAAAGTTACTGAAGAGTTACTAAAAGTTACTGGAGAGTTACTGAAGAGTGAATAAAAGTTAATAAGAGTTCTAAAAAGATACCAAAGAGTTACTGAAGTGTTGCTAAAGAGTTACTGAAGAGTTACTATGAGTTACTAAAGAGTTACTAAATGTTACTCAAAGTTACTAAGGGTTACTAAAGAGTTACTGAAGAGTTAGTAAGAGTTATTGAAGAGTTACTGAAGAGTTACTAAAAGTTACTCAAGAGTTACTAAAAGTTATTGAAGAGTTACAGAAAAATTACTAAGAAGTTACTGAAGAGTTACTAAAGAGTTAGTTAGAGTTACTAAAGAGTTACTGAAAAGTTACTAAAAGTTACTGAAGACTTACAGAAGAGTTACGAAAGAGTTACTAATAGTTACTAAAAGTTATTAAAAGTTACTCAAGAGTTACTAAGAGTTACTGAAAAGTTACTAAGAGTTATTGAAGAGTTACAGAATTGTTACTAAAAGTTAGTAAAAATGAAAGGTTGCTCAAGAGTTACTAAAGAGTTACTAAGAGTTACTCAAGAGTTACTAAGAGTTACTGAAGAGTTACTAATAGTTACTGAAGAGTTACTAAGAGTTACTAAAGATTTACTAAGAGTTACTGAAGAGTTACTAAAAATTACTAAGAAATACTCAAGAGTTAATCAAGAGTTACTGAAGTGTTAATAATAGTCACTGAAGAGTTACTAAGAGTTACTAAAGATTTACTAAGAGTTACTTAAGAGTTACTCAAGAGTTATTGAAGAGTTACTAAGATTTACTCTAGAGTTACTAAGAGTTACTGAAGAGTTACTAAAAAGTTACTGAAAGTTGCTAAAGAGTTACTAAAGAGTTACTAAAGAGTTACTAAGAGTTACTGAAGAGTTACTGAAGAGTTACTAAGAGTTATTGAAGAGTTACTGAAAAGTTACTAAAACTTACTGAAGAGTTACTGAAGAGTTACTAAAAGTTACTAAAATTTATTAAGAGTTACTAAAAGTTTACTAAAGAGTTACAAAAGAGATGCTAAAGAATTACTGAAGAGTTACTAAGAGTTACTGAAGATTTACTAAGAGTTACTAAAGAATTATTAAGAGTTACTGAAGAGTTACTAAAAGTTACTAAAAGATACTAAGAGTTACTAAAGAGTTACTGAAAAGTTACGAAAAGTTACTAAGAGTTACTGAAGAATGACTAAAAGTTACTAAAAGTAAATAAGAGTTACTAAAAAGTTATTAAAGAGTTACTGAAGAGCTGCTAAAGAGTTACAAAGAGTTACTAAAAGGTTACTCAAGAGTTACTGAAGAGCTGCTAAAGAGTTACTAAGAGTTACTAAGAGTTACTGAAGAGTTACTAAAAGTTAATAAAAGTTACTAAGAGTTCCTAAAGAGTTATTGAAAAGTTACTAAAAGTTATTGAAGAGTTACTAAAATTTACTGAATGGTTACTAAAGAGTTACTAAAAGTTACTCAAGAGATAGTTACTGAAGAGTTACTAATGTGGACATAAAGGCCCAAGCCCATAACGAGAAGGATCAAGACCAAGATTCAATCCAAGACTTAGGTGGACCTATGACAAGAGGCAGACTCAGAAAAAGACAAGAGGCATTGCAATACAAAGTGACCAATTTGCTAAAGGCCCAACTATTAAAAGATCCAAACATGGAGGAGTCTAGACCTATCACATACATAGAATGTTTGGAGAGCTAGGAGGCCCAACTAAAAGATTTAGTTTTTATTATTATTTTATTTGCTACAGTGGGGATTTGAACCCAAGACCCAAAGCTTATAATGCCTTCACCTAACCTTCTGGGTAACTTAACTTTGCTTGGGATATTAGGATTTTAATTTATCTTTATTTCCTACAATGAGACAAACTCATAAACTTAAGTTGTATTAAACATTTGGGAATTCAGAATGAACGTACGTAATATTCAGAATCATTTTGTGAGTTGTTGCTCTACTAGGGTTGTTCCTTGCATCACTTGATCTTAACAAGAATTATTCGATTCTTGTGACGATCCTGCTTGGCTTATCAAATATTCTTATTTGTGGCACCTACGGTATCTTTTATGTTTTTCTGTTTTCTATTTTCAATCAAATCAACTCTTAAAACCTAACCCTAAATTGTTTCCCTTCTATTCAAGTGTCGTCATTCGGTATCAGAGTAAGGTTCAAAAGCGGTATTGTTCATCGACATTGTTCACGGTACTGTTCACGGACTGTTCATTTGTCACTGTTCACGGTACTGTTCACTTGTTATTATTCACGGTACTATTCATTTGTCACTGTTCACATGTACTGTTCATTTGTCACTTGTTCAAAAAAAACTTGTTGTTTATGCAATTTTGATATTGAATTTTATTTAGATATATATATATATATATATATATATATATATATATATATATATCAAAGTTGTGTTTGAAATTAGTTTTCTGCAGAAAAGAAAAAAAAAAGAAAAGAATCAAAAAAGGAAAAGAATCAAAAAAAGAAAAGAATCAAAAAAGGAAAATAATCAAAAGAAAAGAATCGGAAAAAAAAATTATATATATATATATATATATATGTGTGTGTGTGTGTGTGTGTGTGTGTGTGTGTGTGTGTTTGTGTGGCAGTTGTTCTTCCTTTAAATTTGAGTACACATTAGTTGTTTGATAAAATTCCTAAATGTCACGCGTCTTTGTCTAATCTTTGTTTTCCCATACAGTTTAAATTTGTCTTGCTTGTTATTAGTAGTAAAATTGTTCTTTGCTACTTGTCCTTTGTTGGTACTACAATTCTGTTTTCTTCCTTGTGATTGCTACAGTTGAAAGTGATTCTTGAACTATAGATTGTTTGATTCTTGTAAGAACCATAAGTCAGAGAACGAGTGGAAAAAGGCAAGAGTGCATATTATACAAAAGCCAAATTGAGAGTAAACACGAGTGGTACATCTTTGAGTGCAAACACGTGAGAAGAGTGGTGAT